ATGGTAACCTTCTCTCCTAACCTTTGTGAAAAAGTTCCAGCATCTCAGAGTGGAGTTCCAACAGCTCGTGAACGGTGGACTTTGCTTCCTCAAAGGGATGCTCTCCTCCTCCCTTAGAACCAGAGCAAAACCAAAGGGGACCCGAGAGGTGGAAACGGGACAGCCTGTGAAAGGTCTGCCACGGGCACAGAAGGAGACTCAGCCGACAGGGAATTGACTACAAGTTACTTCTTTTTTTTTTTTTAAGATTTTATTTATTATTTTTAGAGAGGGAAGGGAGGGAGAAAGAGAGAGAGAAACATCAATGTGCGGTTGCTGGGGGCTGTGGCCTGAAACCTAGGCATGTGCCCTGACTGGGAATTGAACCTGCGACACTTTGGTTTGCAGCCCGCGCTCAATCCACTGAGCTATGCCAGCCAGGGTACAAGTTACTTCTTCTCTCAGAATAGAGGATGGCGTCCTGTCCCCATTTGTGCACAAGAAGAAGGCCTGGCATGAAGTGCTGGCATGAAGTCACACAGAAGGTGTGTGAAGGAACAAGAACTCCCAGTCCTTCACGTCTCTCCTTGCGTTAGCCCGAAGAACACCGAGTCTCCAGGTTACTGTCGATTATTGTACTTTACTTTATACCAAAGGAAACACAAGTTCTTATGACAGACGAAAAAAAATGCCTAAGGCTTAGTAGAGGATGCTTAGAGTTCTAAAATAATATTTTTCTCAGCAGGGCAAAAGATAGCTAGAAAAAGAAACATGTGGGCTATGTTTCTTCTCTTTTGGTCCAGGAAAAACTGTTCTGGAGGTGGCCTTTATGTAAATATTTGCATGATGAAAGAAAAATCACGGAATCACTCAGGGCCAGAGACCTTCTGGTCAGAAGCTGGACAAGTATTCATTCTGTTTTGAATGTAAGAATGAAGGTTTGGGAATTGGTTCTGGTTTTAAAGCTCATGCCCACCTTTTCCCTCGATCACCACGGGCAATTATTTTCCCTCCACTCCATCTCCTAATACTCCCCTCACCCCACTTTTGAGTGGTCACCCTCTCTTGTTTGTCCTCTGAGCCCGGAGGGACCTGTGGGCTGCCAGGACTCATGGTCACCTGCCGACCATGGCCTGATGTCCAGGTCCAGCTTCACTTTAACTTTTAATGCACCTTCACAACTCTTAGGTTCTGTGCTTGAGCTTTATGGGTCTTTTGTAATTTGTGTGGTTAATTTTCTTTTAAAAAAAGGTTTTATTTATTTTTAGACAGAGGAGAAAGGAAGGAGAAAGGAAGGAGGGAAACACATGTGAAAGAAACATCGATTGGCTGCCTTCCACAAACCCCCAACTGGAGACCCGGCCCACGACCCAGGCATCTGGCCTGACTGGGAATTGAACCTGTGACCGTCTAGTTTGCAGGCTGGTGCTCAATCCACTGAGCCACACCAGCTAGGGCTGTGGTTAATTTTCAAAGCTGGAAACCAATGAACACTGTTTACATTATTGAGTCCATGGAAATAGGTCACTGCAGGGCCACATAGGGGGCAAGGATTATTTCTCCTTATATGTGGGCTTACATATCCAGCATCAAGATCAGATGGATGTCAAGTAAGCAGTCTTTGCTTTAGAATGTCTTCAGAGCTTGGCCCCAAAAAAGCAAGCATGAGAAGGGTTTTATTCTGGGGAACAAGTACCCTAGTAGAAGCTTTAGTTCTCCTAGAATAGATAATTCCGTGTCTTTTGAGACAATTCTTGGGTTTTATGTTTTTTTATTTCCTAGGTTCTGTGATTGGATGAACGCCTGCTGAGAGAGGGCCTGACTGGTAGCAGCACATCTGTAGGACCTCCATGTGTTGGCACTGTTTTCATTGCCCCTCCCCTCATTCCTACCCTTCAGCTCAGTGACATGACGCTCTCCACCTCCACCCCTCCCCAGTCCTGCCTCCGCCACCTCACCTCTGAGCCTCCTCAGTGGAGGTCAGCATGCATCCCACCGCCTCCCACTGCCCAGAAATGTGCTGATATCTCTGATGTACTCATCATCTCCCTTATGTTCTCTTGGCTCATGAGTTAATTATATTTTTGTACTTTATTACTGACATTTAATAAGATCTCAGGAAGAGGTGGCAAAAGCATAAATATGTTCTGCCATGTTGAACTGAAAGATTACGATGTTCCTACTTTGGACATTTTATTCTTACTACCTGTTCACTGAAGTCAGAGTAATTGTCTCCACTGTTGGTTTTGATTAACTTTTGATATTTCTTTACATTTGGGCCAGTCTATTAGTTACATACACTGAGCATTGCCAGGAGCCTTGCACTGAGTCAAGTGCTAAACCGGATGTGTCTGGGTTACACACACGGATCGTGACATTATAAAAAATACACTCCAGTGCTGTAGTAACTAGGAATATCCATGTTCTCATTTTTTGTTGTCTTTTATGCTTTTCTATCTGTATCTTATCTTGAGCTTCACTCATCTGGATCCCTTCAGTCAGGTGTGATGTCTGGTAACTTTCTCTATACCCAGGCGTGGTTCCTGAAACCAACCAAGGTTCAGTGAATGTGGCCAAGACAGTTCGCCTGGCTCAGTGTGGGCACCGCACTGGGACCCAGTGTAACAGTAGGTGCCCTGTGAAAACCGGTCACGTGCAACATTCCACTAAGAGAAATTCCAAAAAGAAACCAGAAAAAAGAGAAGAGGCAATTATTATGTTTAATGAAGAAGTTGAATATTTTATTAGACTATTACTTATTTTCCTACAAGGCCATTGCTTCACTGTATAAAAATAGCATCAGCAAACACCGCATATTACAAAACTAAGGTAGTATTGTTTGTCACCTGACATTGTTCAACAAATACAGATGTCTCCACCGCCAGTTACTTCCAATGGAAAGATTATGAAATATTTTGACCCCAATCCAGAGATGGATGTAAGCAAGTTACATTATATAAGCCTTATGACAATATTATCCTTGAATTATATAATCTTATAACTAGTTGATACCACAGATAATTTCAAGAATTCTGAATATTATAACTGTAGCCTAGCCTAAAAATTATAGGGTATTGGGAAAAAGATGTATATTGTGTTCATCTGCCATCACTAGAAAGTTAAGAACTATTTTCTCCCAGTAGCATTGTTCTAATTAGTTTCTTTTTCCATTGGTACTGCTAAAAGTCGCTATTTTAATTCTTCTCTCCACCACTAATTGAAAAACACTATGCGAGATTAAGTTGTTTCGTATCACTTTATTTGGGGGGGTTCCGTTTCCACTCCTCGGTAGATTTCATGTAATTCTCATGCGATCCTTCACTCCTCCGAGCATCCAGTTCTGCAGGTCACTCGGGGTCATCTTGGTCATTAACCAGCGTCACAACAAGATTTGTTGATAAGTCCTGGTTTTTCTGCAAGAGCTTCATGAATCTCAGTTATCTCTCCGATAGAGGAGGATGGAGTTCACTAGCAGCTTTCACACTTTCCAGAGCACCAAATTTGTCTTGTTTGTTCAAGTGTGTCCTAACTCCAGGCAGACTGCAGTAGACAACATCTCCTGAAGCTTCCAGTACAGAATCGATGATTCCTGCTGTTCCAGTACCTCTTTATGTTGTTATGCATTTATGTTTCTCTGTGAGTTTTGCACCAAGAGCAGATCGAGGCTGGTGTGCAGGGACCAGAAAATGCCACCTCAAGGCCCCAGTGCCATAGCCATGTTCACAGTGACAATTATTTTTTAAAAAAATAAACAAATGAAAGCATCTCTCAGAACTGAAAGATCTGTATGATCAGGTAAAAAGTATCAAGAAATGTCTTGTACAATGAATAAAAAATAAAAGAACCCATACCAACTCTCATTATGATGATATTTCATGATATTTCAATTAACCAGAGTAATGAAAAGATCCTAAAAGCACCTAAAAAGAAAGAGTGGACCATAGTTATAGGACTAGAAAACAAAATGACATTCAGACTTCTCAACAGTAATGCTGGAAGCTAGAAGACAATAGAGCAGTACTGTAAGAAAAATATGAGTTACTATAAAGAAAAGGACTTTTACTGTTTAGACAGTGTTTGAGGATAGCCTATTGTTGTTTACACAGGAAATTAAGCAACACAATGAGACAATTATCAACTCTAGGAGAAACTACCTGTTGTCTAAAAAAAGGAAATATAATTATAGTATACCAAATAGCCCAGCCATACACAATTCATAAAAGCAGAAATTCTAGATGTTCATTTCACCAAAGACTATGATAAAACTTTGATTCAACAGATGATGCTAAAATAATCTAATATCCACAAGACTAAAATGAAGCTTAACCCTGGTTATCTCACTCCATATACAAAAATTAATTACAAAGGGAACACTTACCTAAATGTAAGAACTGAAAATATAAAAACTTCTAGAAGAAAACATAAGAGAATATCTCTGTAGACATGGTATAAAGAGGATACAAAAACTGGGAAACAATATTTGCAAAACATATATCTGATTATAGGCTTTTATCCAGAAGACATATTTACATTTGCCCGCTTACCCCACCCCCCACCGTCTGCCTCTGGATCCCATAAATCTGATCTCAGATTCTAGAATTTGGGTTTCCTTTTTCAGATTCCACATATAAGTGAATCTTTCTTTGTCTGGTTTATGTCATTCAGCACAATGCCTCCATGGTCCATCCATGCTGTCACAAATGGCAGGATTCCTTCTTTTTTAAGGCTAAATAGTGTTCCATTGTTTATCTATATACATGATGACTTCTTTACCCACTCTCCCATCAGTGGGTACGTTTCCATGTCTGGGCTATTGTAAGTAATGGTGCAACAGCTGTGGGGGTGCTAGCAATCCCTTTGACATAGGGATGCTGTTTGCTTCAGATATACACCCAGAAGTGGGATTGCTGGATCATATGGCAGTTCTACTTTTCATTTTTTGAGAAACCTCCATGCTGTTTTCCATGATGACTGCACCAAATTACATTTCTACTGACGATGCGCAAGGGTTCAGATCTAGATCATCTTAAGGGACAGAGATTCAGAAGCATCTCATTGTTGTAGTGCTCCAAACCCATGTACCTCATGTCTTCATCAAAATTCCACTTGCTGCTCTTGCCCGGCAGCGAGTACTGATGGTGCGGGTAAGAGGTATAGGTAAAGAGAAAGGGGTCTTCCTGGGGCGAGTGGCCCGTGGTGGAAGGGTAGTAGCTGTTAAGATCCACGTGCACTTTCTCTTCATAAGGATCAGGCCCTGGATTGGGCCATGACGGATGAGAGCTAGTTTTGGCTGCAGGGGGCTCCACTGGAATCTGCTGGGGAAGGGGTTCTAAGGAGCTCTGGGGAGGGGGGAAGTCGTAAGACCAGCTGGTCTGAGGAAAAGGGTAACTGGGGCAACTGCTGTCGTTGAAAGGATTCCTCCCCAAAGCGGCGTTTTTATTCCACGTCTGCAGATCACTGTAATCAGAGCGGACTCCAGAGACAGAAGGCTGAAGCAGGTCTCCACTGCTGTAGATCCGACTGCTGGGCACTTTGCACTTCTCATAGAGCTCAGAGGGGCACATGGAAGCAGTGGGATCTGCCAGGTCAGTGGTTCCCCCCAAACTGTAACTCTTAAACAAGCCATCATTAGGTGACTTCTGCGGGGGAGCATTAGCCATTAAATGTCCACTGTCACTAGGAGGCAACTGGATGCCTTCCTGGAAAGACCAAGCTAAAGGTAAATTCCCCCAACTCTGTGTTTCTGCTGGAACAGACTGGAAAGGAAAGTAAAGAGTTCATGTTGATAAGTTAGGCCAGTTGACACACCTACCCCAGGCGCCCACGAGTTCCTCCGCACTCACGGGTTCCCCACCAGTCTCCTCCCTCCTTCCGCGCCCAAGCCCGAACACACAGAGCGGCGGCGCCAGACCACGCAGGGACTGAGCACTAAAGGCCGCTCCTGATTCCAGTCTAACCTCGCTAACCCGGGGGAGCTGAATTGCTATCTGCTCCGACAAGAGTATGTAGAAACATTTCACCCTCAGAGGACAACCTGACATCCTAAAGGCCTCTGTGAGACACTTCGAAGTGCTATTTAAGAAAATAGCACTGCAGCTTTGAAACTTTATCTTAGACTCAGTACAACTCTCAGGGGATCTCTCTCTCCCTCTCACTCACATTTCCCTCCTTGACTTTTCTATCGTTTAGTGCTATGTGGAGTCCAAGACACTAGGGTTGTTATTTTTATTTTCTCAAGACTTTTCTATAAACTCATTTTGCTGAATCATAAATAGGACTTCTAGACCATGAAGTGGTAAATATATTTCTATAAGTGGAGGAAGTATATTGTTTCCCAGTTAATTATCGGAAAAGAATCTAGTCGGGAATTAAGTAACCCTCTTGTTCAGGTAAAACTATTGACTAATAAGAGGATGAGGAGTGGAGAGAGGCTGTGACCAGGGAAGAGTAGGTGGGAAGAAGTGCCCTTCAACGTGTCTCGTGGCTGGGAGAAAGGATGGAGGCCAATCACTTGAACTTGGGGCTTACATTTCCTGACAAGATACACAAGTTATATATTTAAAAAATGTAAAGTACATTTAGAGGCTCCAGGGATGGACTGGCTCCATTTCTGCCCTTTTGAAAAGAAATGTGGAACACTGAACAGTAGAAAAATACAGGACTCACTATCACGATCAAGCAGACAAATCTAGAGTACAATATAACCCCCTGAGGCACGGACTCCATAGCACACCCTCCCAACCCCCACCCCGAGGACCACTGTTTTCAGAAACTGCCTTGTTATTCCATCTTGGTGAAGAGTGCTAAGGAAATACAGGTGACCCCTGGGCAGCATGGGTTTGAACTGTGATGATCCACTTACTTGTGGATTTTTTCAGTAAATACCTGCTCTGTTTTTGATCTGAGGTCGGGAGTCTAGGGGTACAGACGGCACCTGTCTGCACGGACCTGCTCCAGTTTATACAGGGGATCTGAGCACCTGTGCATTTCGGTATCCATGAGGGGTCCTAGATCCAGTCCCCTATGGGGACAACCAAGGGACAACTTAAGTTTTGGGGGCGTTGAAAGCTACATGCATATTTTCAACGGCTGGCAGGGGTGGGGGTTAGCACTGATGAAGGGTCAGCTGTGATCTGTTCTCGGTAAAAAAAAGAAAACTTGGTGGGGGGGAAGCATGAGGCTGACATTTATGGAGATCGTGTTAGTTAATTTTGTTTCTACCAGAACCAAAATATAGAGTGCCAAATACAGGTTAAGTGCTAATTCCAGTGTCTTTTTCATTGTAGCAGGGAAGAAGCTCCTAAAATTAGACAGAATGTATAATTGAGAGCATGCTACAAGGATGGTGGACATTAAGAGGAAAACCTTGGGTTCCGCTTCTGTGGCAGATGCCTGCTTATAGCTGAGCCTGACGGGAAATGACTTCTGGCTCTGATTTGTAGGTAACGGGTGGTGAGTTGCAGGATGTTTTGAACACACATGGGGACAGGCTACCTTTGCCTCTGGGCCCCTGTTCAGCTTCAGGATGGAGGAAGAAGGAGTGTGCACCTTCTTCATTGTTCTTCTGGCCTCGGCTTCCAACTTGGTTTCAGGTTTTGGATGGTCATGTTCTCCTTTTGACTTAAGAGAGACAGGACATAAAATAAGTAACCGGGTGGTACTTCTGGTGTGTGCAATTTTACCCTAAGAATGGCTAAGCCTTTTAAGTGCCTCCCACTTCCACCCTGCGCTTTCTGGCCTGCCTGTTTCTGTTCAGGCTGCTCATCTCTCACCCACGTGGCAAAGCCACATTTGTAGTGACAGCAAGCGATGCCTGCTGCGCACGATCCCATTTAACCTGCAGCACAGCCCTGAATGCACACACCATCGCTCTTTTCCCCAGTTTACGGAGTGGGACATCGAGGCATGGAGAGATTATGGCACCGAGGTCACTCCCTCTAGTAAATGGGTGAGCTGGGATTCCAAATGTGCTGGAGCCAGCCAAGCTTTAAGCCACTCATTAAAGATGTGGGGACTCCTGTGAGTGAGGTGTTTAAAACAGCCCACAGCTTGAAATCAGCCATGATAGGAAGAGTGTTAGCACTGGAACTGGTGAACCCTGACTGGCAAACCAGAACATTTTCTCTCTGGAGGGCGGGGTGACCAGCACTCCACCGATTCAAACCCAGGCAGTCTGCTGGGAGAGGCCGCTCTTCACCACTGCCCACAGCACCGCCCCATGTTTACGTCTCAATACCCAGATGTCACAGGAAACTGGGGCTCAGGGGAGTGAGGTGTTTCAGTCCACAGAGCCCTGCAGAAGTCAGAGCTGGGGTTTACTCTGGGGTCTATTGGAGGCTGCCATGTGAGGCAGGGCTGACAACCCGAGTGCGATCAGATCACTAACCCCTCAGGGGACCGAGCCAGAGGCGGCCAGCTACCCTCAAGGGCTTGGCACCTCTTCGAGGTGTGGGGCACAGACACTTGCTCGCCCAGAGTGTGCCTTGTGGCTGGTGTCGGGTCTCCTTCGCCTGGGCACCTCCAGTATGAGACCCCTCCTCGTACTCTGTAAACATTTCTTGAATTAACGAGAAATGCGTGTTGTCACTTTAACTAAAGTCCAACCTGGAAAAATATGAAGCGTCCATCATGCCTCCAGAAGTTGGTAACTGGGAAGCCCCCGTGGCCTCGGCAAGCAAGTAGCTTCAGAGGGCTGTCGCAGTTGGGGCAGCGTTTCCCTACAAAAGAGCAGAGGATGGTGACCTTGCCCAGCTGAGCCACGCCAGCTGACTCCTGAGTGTGTGCAGTCCTGGTGGTGGCAGCCTGGACTCCTGGGTGGCAGAGAGCACACCTGGGCACAGTTTGATGCACTGCCGACAACTGGGTGTTACCCTAGCCCTTGGAAGCCCAGCCACCATAATGGCCCCAGTCAGCCTCACGTGTGGACAGAGGAAGTGGCAAGAGGAATGGGGTATTTCGCAGGTTGGGGGGGCGCGCCTCCGAGCAGAAAATCCTTCCCTAGTTATTTACTGATACTTGAAACTCTTTGTAGAGAAGAAGGAAAAGTTCTTTTACTTCATGATTAGAACTCAGGGGCAAGGACCAAAGCCACGTGGGACAGAGAACACAGCTACCAAATCTCCACTGAAGTGTGAATGACTGATGTTGGGTCCTGCCCTGAGAGCCAGTCTTGGAGACAGATTACAGGGACAGAACATGAAGTAACTTGAGATCTGAAGTGGACAAATCACGGGGAATGCTGAACGGATTTCACAGTCTAATAAATATAATAAAAAACCAAAATGAGCACATATTTCAGTGTGTGATGATGGCATCAACCTAAATGTCGTGAAATGAGCCTAACCCTAAGTTTAGTCCCCATGCTTCACTGAAAATCAAAGCACTGCTTGAGATCACACAGGGACCCATTCCCTGGGAGGTTAGGAGGCGAGTCTGAGAAACAACTTTCTTCTAAACTTTACATGGGTGCACTGACAAATTAGTGTTAGACCTGTAAGCGAGGCATCTTCCTTTTAACAGAGGCCTTGAGTCAGGTGTCTTAACCCAAGGGAGCACTTTTAATGTGGGTGCTCTGGCCAGGCAGACCTGTGGGGCCGTCCCCCCATCGGGGATAAGGGGAGTGGTTGGTTTTCCTTAATATGTTCTACATAGGAATGCCCTGGTATCCCCACTCTCCAGTGTGAAGGTTGGGCCCTTGGGATGTGCTGGGAAGTAGTGGCCCATCTGCGCAGGAGCCCTTGAATGAAGCCAGCCTCATCTCCAAGGCCAGCGAGCCCTACTCACTCTGCTGCTTCTGCCGCGCTTTGTCACAGATGGCAGGTCTCAGGTAGATCTTTCGGCCCTCGCTGGTGGAGCAGTTCCGGCTGCATACCACCACGCCCAGGCAGGACTTCTTGAGGATGCGCGAGTTGTGGTTGTTGGTGTTGCGCATGGCCCAGCTGCTCAGGTGCCTCTGCGCATTCCTGTCCTCTGCGCTGTAGATGAACTTCTCGTAGGAATCTGGCCATTCTTGGAACCAGTCAATCTTTTTCACATCCTTACAGAAACACAAAGAGTATTATTATATTTGAAGCTACAAGACACAGCTGTCCATCACTGCGGAGACAACAGACACAAAGGTTGTTTCAGCACGCAGGAGCTATGTGAGAGGCCTTCGCAAAGACCAAGCTGGGTCCAGTTCGGGTGGTGAGGCCTGAGAACTCAGCACAGCAGCAGTGACACGACTGCTGAGTCTACTGAACCTCTGCTCCCCGGACCGCAGTGAGCTGGGGTTCAGCCCCCCGAGACCCACCTGATGGCTGCTTCTCTAACCCTTGGTGATAAGGGCTGGGACCATTCGCACTAAGAATTTTGGGGGGTGAAGTAATATTACTGTGCTGTCACACAGTGTGGAAATCCTTGGGGCAAGACAGTGAGATACTATCTCCTACCACAGTGTGGATTTCTTATTAAGAACAATAGGGTTTGTGCAAAGTCACCAGCAGTGGGTAGACTGGAGAGCCCTGGTGCGGGGATTTGGAGAGCCGCTTCCTGCCCTGGGGAGATTTTCCTCCCTTTTCTCTACTCCTGTAGCCATGTCCCTCAAACAGGGCGGAGAGTAAGGAAGAGTTGACTGTAACCAGGAGTGTCTCTCTTCTTGTCCAGGACTGGCACTATTCCCTGTGCGTGAACATCCAACTACACTAAGGCACCCAGTCACTAGAGCCTAAGTTATTCGGCTTCCTGTGCCTGTGTGTGATAGGGATAACAAGACCTGAGGATCTCAAGAGTACTTCTGATAATTGAATATTAGTCACTGGTGCGTGGCTCACACTCCTTACGTCTTGCTTTGGTTCAGACATGCTCCACTTGACAGATCCCACCTGGTTCTTAGAGTAAGAATTATTAAGCAATCTCAGGCATCAGACTTGGGCTGTGTCATCCCCACAGCTTCCACAGACCTGCCATGGCATAAGAACATTGTTCATTAAGAAAATTCCAGAAGATCAGATTAGAAAATTCTAGGCAGTCCTGAAGGAGTGATCAGGGTACTACTGATGTTGACTGAGATAAAATTCAAGTTTAGAACATGCCAAAGAACTTTGTAACCTGAGAATCTGGGCAAGTTATTTTTGCCTTTTAAGCCTTGGTTTGTTCTTCTCTGAAACGGGAACATTGATAAAACACACTTCAAATAGTACTGCAAAGAACAGGCCTGTAAGCCTCATATAATGATAGCTGCGGTTTGAATGAAATGTCACGGGAGCTAAGGTAGGTCTAAGGAAATAGGAGAGGTTTTACGTACGTGAGAGATTAGTGGTTAAGAACTTGGGTTTGCAATCTAGGGCCCATGGGCCAAATCCAGCCCACTGTCTCTTTTTGTAGGTGAGGTTTTATTGGAACACAACCATGTCCCTTCATTTTATTGTTGTCCACGAATACGTTATACCACCATGGCAGAGCTGAGTAGTGATGGCACAGACTGGATTGCCCACAAAGCCTAACATATTTACTATGTGGTCCTTTACAGAACGTTTGCCAATGCCCGACTAAGAGCAAGGCAGGTGGAGGCAGATGGCCTGGGTGTGAGTCTTAACACAGTTCCTTGCCCTCTCAGTGCCTTTTCCTCTCTGTACCAGGAGTACCTACCCCACAGGGAGGTTATGAGGATGGAATCTGTCAACACATACAAAATGTTTAACACAGTGTTTGGCACGTGGCAAGTTCCACATCAACATTAGCTGGTACTCTACTAGACCCAGGGCCACACACAGTGAGCCAGTGTGATTGTGGGAGCCACCAGCTTTCAGGAGAAGAAAGGCCCACATAGCGGTCACTTCATGCTTTAAACTTCGCCAACCCAAATGCAAGACAGGAGTCCAAGCACCTGAAACAAAGCATGACTGGTGCCGCTCCAGTTCCACCACCCGCCTTCTCAGGGCACGGACGACAGCTGGCCCCTCACTCAAGTGCCTGCTGTGCTATGGGAAGGGGTGCTGGCCCAGAAGAGAGGGGTGAAAGGACACGAGTCAGAGTGTGGCCCCTGGAGAAGCAGTCCCCTCTCGGCAGCTACATTAGAGTTCTAGGAAAGAGGCACAGTCAGGCCCAGAAGCTGAACAGACTGTCTGCTTCTTCCAGGCCTTCCTCTTTCTCCTCAGTGTCTCGGGGATTCTGAGCTAGATAAAATTCAAAGCCCCAGCATTAGAGAAATAGCTCAGGCAGCCCCATCTCCTGCTTCCTCCACCCACCTTCTCTCCTCTGCCTTCTGATCTAAGCTCCAAACGAGGCTCTCTTGTTTTCCTCACAGAAATGCCATAGAAAGCATAACATTTTATCCTCTGAAATAATAAAAATGCAGGTTGAAATGTGTCTCTTTGTCTAATAGTTTGGGCTGTAAAATCTACTGGTGGATTTTAATTACTCAAACACAAAGCACAGTTGTCAGGGTAGCAGAGGCAGGCCAAGGTGGACTTGGAACAGCTGAGGTTTTCACGTTTCAGAGGTGAGAGCAAACGCCTTTAGCCTGGTCAAGGGCATCAGTCCCAGGAGCCAGGAGGAGGAGAAGGGGTTAAAGAGAGAAGGTAATAAGAGGCGATATGTCAGAGGCTGCTGGTAAAGTAGCCACCGGCTCCAGGAAGGGGGAAAGAGACCTCCACAGTCTGTGTGTCTGTCCGTCTCTCTTTCCCATCTTCTCTCGGTTTAATGTATATTTTGACCTCCCCGCAGGCTTCTTCTTTGACCCATGGATTATTTAGAAATATATTGTTTAGTTTCCATGGGTTTATAGATTTTCCTGTTGTCTTTTGCTATTAATTTCCAATTTGATTCCATTGTATTTGGAGAACACACTTTGTTTTCAGTTATTTTAACATTCTTGAGGTTTGTATTAGGGATCACAATACGTTTTATACTCTATAGTCTTTTAAACGTTTTTTTCAGCAGCCCCTGTACTTGCACCCTAGGTTTCCAGCACCATTACTAATACAATGATTTTGACTAAGTATGGACTTGAGAAAATTACTAGGAGTAAAATATTCCAGCTATTCTCTTGGCTATTTATTTATGCCCAGTCTTTTGACCTGGGTGCTTTGTGGAATCCTTGATCTTTTGACATTGAAATTAAGGAAAACCCAGGTCACAATAAGTCAAAGGCATCTAGGTGTGAAGTGAAGGACAAGGATTTCTGAGAGCCTTTTAAATTTCAGGAGCAGTAAAATGTAAGAGAAAGAATAATCATTTCTTAATCGTGTTTAGCAAATCCCCACAAAATATTTTCTTTCCTTTTCTTTTTTTTTCTAGATCTTTTGTTTATTTTAATTTCTAACTTTTCATGAGTAACTCTTTGTTTTTCCTCTTGGTTAAGAAGCTTATAATTTAAGGGGAATATTCTTAAGTTTTCCAACATGTGAATCCAACTAATTTATATTTCATAACCTCATTGGTAATATCATTGGGAGCTTAATTAATATTTCTATGACTTCTGTGTGTAATTTTTTACTGAGACTTAATCCTCTAACTCACTCAAAAGCTTTGAAACTCTATGCAGTCAGAGATCAACCTTCATCCTCTCCTTATTCTAATTTACTTAGCTACTTAAAGTTTTAATAGAGTACCTTGAGAATTAAATACATTCTATTATATAAAACAAACAAATTAAAATCAAAATTTTGAAATAAGGCATCAAAAATATTTACATTACCATGTTTTATATTAAAATTGGTTTTCATTTTGAATATAGTCTAGTTTCATTTAAAGCAATCACCCACTAGGTTTTCTTTAATTATAATAGCTTAGTCATTCCCTGTAAATAAATGTTTCCAAATAAAACAAGGATAGCAAACAGATACATCTTAAAGCAAATCAGAGGCAAAAAGAAATTGGATGTTACTTACGGAACACAGAAAAACAATTCAAGCCACATTTTGATTTACATACAACTTTTCAAGAACTTATCTCTTCTGAGAGAACTGAAAACCAAACTCCAAGTGTTGTCAAAAAGAGAAATTCAATTCAACAAAATGATTTTGAATTAAATCAAGAATTCCTGCTGCGGCTAAACCTGCCATTTCCTTCCTTCATTAAGGGGTTAAGACAAGGACAAAAAGTTCGTAACTTGCTCAGCCCACACAAAAGTGAGCCTGAGTTACCCAGCTTTCAAACTCTCTATGTCACCTACTTCTCTTTCCCATCTCCCTTCCACTTCCCGCTCCATCCCACTGAGCAAGGGCCCTGCTGACAGGTGCTCAGAAGAGAGTTCTGCGCCCACCGGTGCAGTGAGGGTCCCATTGGCATCACACCAGAAGCCCAGGGCAGCAGAAGATTTCTGCCCCCAATTGCAGGGGGCCCGATGACCAAGGAAGCCCATACAGGTGGTGCTGCCCCAGGAAGTTTAAAGAGATCAAGAAAACTACACAAAGAGGATAAAATCATGGGTGTCTGCATCAGACTAACATAGCATGACCTGATCATGCGGCCAGGTAATAAATAATTGACAAGAGATCCAGAATCTGATAACTGTTAACTCTCTAATACCAAAACACAAAGATTACTACAACTGGCTCATTCTGATCACATGTAGTCGCATGAATTCACAGAGAGCTAAAAAATTCACCTTTGCTAATCTTTTTTTTTGCTCATCACCCTACCAAAGCTACAGAAACTTTCTGGCTAAAATCATAATCTAGAAATTAACTGAACTGGTGATGTAACCTCTTTGTAGTTGACTCATGGGGTTTTGGGTTGGTCTGCATTTCTATTTAACCTAAGCATATCTTTTTTTCCCTATCAAATACGTACCTCAGCTGTGTGAGTTAATGACTTGGTGTGGCTTTGGCCTTGGGTTTACTCTGAAAACTGCTCATGCTTAGGAACACAGTGATTCAGAGTGTTTGCCTGCTGTGGTGTTGTTGGAATGCCTGTCATTTTGCTCAGAAAAACTGGCCAGTGTTCAGAATGGAGTGGGTACTCTCACCTTCTTTCTGAAGTGGGACTATTTAGGAGTAAAAGGAACTGATTCTCTTCTCAATTTCAATCAGAAAGAAGAAAAAGAAATTTCTTAGGGATTCACAGCTCTCAAATATTACAATCAGGATTAATGACAGTTTCTGGGACCACGTGGTAAACATTTTTAATGAAAGTAAAACTAAACCAATACCAAATATTTGCTGCTTGCACCAAAACAACCCTAAAGCAATTATATCTGAACTTTCAAAATGCAAAATTGGTGTATTAGGTTGGTCTGGAGTAAACAGACTTTTCTCAATGATGGTTTTGAGTAATTTAAGAGCCTGCAGGTCTGGGCTGGCTCCCCAGGGGCTGGATTAAGGAGAGATGGATATGAAAATAATCACAAGTTGGAGCAGTGGCCAACAAGTGAAAAGAAGGTTTGTAAAGACATGTATGCAGCTATGGGAAGGAGGAAACATACATGAAACAAACTGGGGAGGGATGGTTTATTGAGGGCACATAGACTCTTTAAACCCAAATCTGATCATACTGCTTTCTAGCCCAAAAAACTAATTGCTCCCCACTGCCTGCAAAATAACCCAGTCCTCTAAGGACACCCTGCTCCTGAACCCCTTTCGCCATCCACAGCCTCCTAAATCTCCTTGCTGGACACTGTGCACAAGCTCCCTCAAATGCAGACTTTGAATAGCTCCAGACTCTGGTGCCCTGCTCTGCCTTCATTGTCTTGATTGCTTTCTTCACCTGCTCTAATCCTCCCACATCTTGCAATGTACTTCTCTGGAGAAGGCCCGTTGCCCTTTCCGTGGTGGAGTCATGCTGAATTACACATTTCCTCTTCCCAGTGCCTCGAGCATTTTTCTGCATTGCCCTGATTCTTTACTTGGGCACTTAACTACCCTGCTCCCTTTGCCCAGATCATGAGTGCTTCCATGGCAGTTAGCACAACTCTTCCATGGGACCCCTGTAGCCCTGCACCCGCTAGTGTCTGGCACATTCTAGTCACTCAGAAAAGGTCTGATGTCCTGGTACGAACATCGCCATTCACTGTTGTCAAAAATTAGCCTGTAAATCTTGATTTATCTGTGACCCGTACATGGGTGTGGCATTTCCGGGACCTGATGGGAATCAGGATTCATTCAGGTGACCATCATGAAACTTGAAGCATGTGAGTGGGTTAATAGGAAAGGAATTTGGTTTACAAGTTGCAGGAATTTGCCCACACATTGCAGAAATAGTGATCCTGGCAAGAATACAAAATTATGAAAAATTATGAAATGAGAAATTCTTTGTGTGGGCGGGACAGAAAATAAAATTGGGGAAGTTTATAATAATTAAAAATCATTGTATTTTATCCTTTAAACAACATTTTTTTCCCAAATGTCCAAACAGATGGTGTGAGGAAGAGTAATTGCCTAAGGGACTCAAGAAAAAAGGGTCCCAGGCAAAAACAAGTTAGGGCCACCCTTCCTAACACAGCTCCCTCTCGGGAGTACCACCACTGCACAGTTGGTTGGGAAGGCTCCAGGTCCGCTGGAAAGAAATCTGTTTAACTTCGCTGAACCTGGCATTTCTCTTTTTCTTTTTTCACAGCACCCCTTGCGCTTGCTCGTGACTTACACTGCACTGAAAACATTTTGGGAAACGCTGCTCTGCACCGGGCAGAGCTTCAGGCAGGGTGTACAGGAAGCACTATTCTCACTTCACCGAGGAGGTGCCTAAGACTTCAGAAGATCGGTTTGTTTAGAGTCACACAGATTATAAACAATGAAGTCACTTGTCAACAAATTCCATATTTGTCATTTGCTGTTTAATATATCCCAGGCATTGTGGTGGGCCTGGGCCGACAGATCTGGAACCCTAGACTATTAGAATCAAAGGGCACATGAGAGACCACTGAGTGCAAGCACCTTGTTTCCAGAGGAAAGGGATGTCAGAAAAGGTAACCAACTCCTGCCTGAGGCTCTATAGATAAAAAGCAGCAGAATTAGAATTCAGTGCAAGGGCTCTGTCTCCACGCCCCTGCTTCTCAGAGTGCGCTGCCCACTTCCAGATTTGCACACGAAACATAAAATTGAGTACGTGTGGACATCCTCCCAAGACCTTTTATTTTTCATCTCAAACTGGTTCTAGATACAATTTCAGAGTCAGTATAAACACAGCTGAGGATGGTGTTGTGTCTGCTTAGAAAATTTTAAGGGATATCTGCACTTAAAAAAAAAAAGATTTTATTTATTTATTTTTAGAGAGGGGAAGGGAGAAAGAGAGGGAGAGAAGCATCAATGTGTGGTTCTTCTCGAGCGCCCCCCAACTGGGGGACCTGGCTGGCAACCCAGGCATGTGCCCTGACTGGAAATCCAACCGGCAAGCCTTTGGTTTACAGGTGGGCGCTGAACCCACTGAGCCACACCAGCCATTTGCACTTTAATCACTTCCCTAGTATATTTAACAAATTAATGGGCACTTAGATATTTCTATCAAATTTTTCAATGAAATCAAAGTTTTTCTATGAACTATAAGTGATACATTTCCAAAATTGAGTGTGTATTTTTGTTGTAAAATTTTCAATTTAATGCCTTGGATGGCTGAGAATGCTTTCATTTTGGGAACTCATGTCGGAACATGCACTTTCATGAGACCCAAGACTCCCTGCTCTTTCTTTCTTTCTTTCGTCTACAGATCTGATGGGTATGGACCCTCTGCTCCTGAAAGAGTGGGTGTTAGTATCCAGTTCTCCCTGTCATTGCAGGGGACTCTCAGACCCCACTACAACTCCTGCTCTGGGGTGTGACACTTGAAAATCATTTGTGGACCTGCTTACTTCAATTCTTGATTTTGAGGATGCCCAGCTTATATTTGGGAATTACAATCATGAAATTAGGAACAGGCAGAAATACAGGTCCTTGAGCCAGGAGTAATTAAAATTTACCTTAAAATTCCCCCTAAAACAGCTACGACAACCATAAACCAATGAAGAGCAACTACAAACACGAATCCCTGAAACAGACATTATGATTTAGCTGTGATTTAATCATCCTTGAATGAATGGAAAGTAGGGCACAGTTAGTATCCATCACTTTTCCAAGACCTACCAAGAGAGAATGTAAGGGGGGATTTGAAGAGAAACAAGAGAACCCTGACCAGCGTGGCTCAGTGGGTTTGGCGTCATACCACAAACCAAAAGGTCTCTGGTTTGGTTCCTGGTCGGGGCACATGCCTGGGTAGCAGGCAAGGTCCACGGCTGGTGGTGTGTGAGAGGCAACAGATGCTTCTCTCGCACACTGGTTTTTCTCTCCCTTTCTTTCTCCTTCCCTTCCTCATTCTCTAAAAATAAATAAATAAAATCTTAAAAAAAAGAAACAAAAGGAAAAAAATTTTTAAAGACTTACACATAAAGAGAAACTAAAGAAAATCAGAGTAAAATTTGGAATGATCTGGAAGCCTTCATCAGAGTGAAAATCTGGAATGGTTATAAATCAAGACTGTGGACTCTCCATTCCCTCTCCACTGCTTGGGCTAATTTAAATTACTTGTTCCCCAGAATCAGGCAGACTGGCTCCAACTTTTCAGTACTTGGTAGAGGTGGTCCCCAGTCTTAGCTTTCTTAGCCGCCCTTTTCAAACAACTTTCAGTGAAGCATCCTTCAGATATCAGAGAGGGAGGTTAAGAAAGTCAGTTTTAAACAATTAATGTTTTCCACTAAATTAGGAGTTAAAAAGTCAATTGCCAAAAATGAAGGGCAAGAAAACATAAAATGAAAGCCGTTCCACGACTGGAAAGCAGCCCAGTGTGTGTGTGCTGTTTACGAGATCCGGAGGAGCATGCCGTGTCCCACACAAGCTCTGTCACTTGGACCTTCCAGGTACAGATTTAATTCAAAGCCATGTCTACAGCAAATACAGTTGTATGGGAGCATGTGCATTATAAATAGTTAATCTATGGGCAAATACATTATCATGGACTTCATTCTTTCAGCTAGCCAGGGTGGGAGGAGCAACCTGAGCCAAGCCAGCTTTGAAGGAGCAGGGACAAAGCATTTTCCGTGCTGCAGTCTGGAACAAGGGAGGGTAGAGGGGTGGGGGTGCGTCTGCTAAGTAAAGACTCACTCAAATCACAGGTTTTGACATCTTTTAAAACTCCTCAGTGGGATGTCTAGTGGAAGCTCTGGAGGAGAGGAGTTTACCCAGTTGGGACCCCCATCAATTTCCTTCCAAGTCTTAGCAAGTCAATAGTTAAGGCTTCATAGCCAAATACAGGGTGGGGCAAAAGTAGGTTTATAGTTGTGAGTACATGAAAACAGAGTTTATTCTTGTATTACTATTTATTAATTATTGCATTATTTTCTCTTTTTTGACTTTTTAAGATTTTTTTTAAAAGATTTTATTTATTTATTTTTAGAGAGGGAAGGGAGGGAGAAAGAGAGAGAGAGAGAAACATCAATGTACGGTTGGGGGCTGTGGTCTGCAACCCAGGTATGTGCCCTGACTGGGAATCGAACCTGCGACACTTTGGTTGGCAGCCCGTGCTCAATCCACTGAGCTATGCCAGCCAGGGCGACGTTTTTTTAGATTTTATGTATTTATTTTTAGAGACAGAAAGGGAGGAAAGGAGGGAGGAAGGGAAACATCTATATGTGGTTGGCTCTTGTGAACCCTCTTCCAGGGACCTGGTCCGCAGATTAAACTGGCGACCCTTTGGTTCTCATGCTGGCAATCCAATGAGCCACACCAGCCAAGGCTAACCATTATATTGTTTTCCACAGGAACAACTGTAAACCTACTTTAGCCCCACCCTACCTTGTAATGAAGGCACATTCTTATAGCAAGTACATACCTGTGGCAGTTTTATGTCATTAATATCCCAGCTTAATATCCCTTTGTCCTCAGAACCAAATTCCTCAGGTTCCATGATAAAGTCAGGTCACCCACCGATTTCCGTCTATTCAACTCCCCTCAGGAGTACTTAAGACTTTTGCTCTTAATATGAATGGATGAGTCCACTCAAGCAGCTTACACTGGGAGACTGTTTTCTGATTCTGAAAAATAAATGATAATAATTAAAGAGATAAAAATCAGTGCTTGTCTAACTGAAAAGCATTTTATCGACATTTTTGCAGTCACCAACACACAAACAGGAGTAAAATGTAGAAGCTGGTAGGGGTCTTCCTGAAATAAAGCCTGACCACTGGGAATCAGAAGTTTAGTGATCACTGTAAGAACCTCTGGGTTTCGGCTGCCTTTCTCCTTGCTGAACCCAGGTTGTGAAGGCCTTAGCACAAGTGGCTGTCACCTGTAGCCAGTGGTTAGGACCTTTCCCCCATAAATATACCTGTGTTTGAGAGGGAAAGCTGGCTTGGAGTTCTTTCCACGGAAACACCTTCATAAATTAGCTAAGGTGTGGATGGAGTTACAGGAGGGGAACATTGCAACCAGATGTGTCTTTATGGCATTTTTAAAATCTAAATTGCTAGATTAATTGGAGATTAATTTTGGTCTCCTCAATAAGTCCAGTGTGCATTTTGTATCTTCACATATTATCAAATGATATGCTCACATGAGATTCCTCTAAAACCTCAGCATTATTGACATCTTGGACACGATGATTTTTTGTCATGGGGGGTTATCTCATGCATTGTAGGATGTTTCACGGCATATTTGGTCTCTGCCCTTTAGGTGCTAGTAGCAAACCAGCCCTCTTTGTTGTGACAACCAAACACATCTGGAGACATGGCCCAAGTTTCCCTGGGGTGGGGCGAGGGACTGCATGAGAACTATAGCTCTAACATAGTGTTTTCAGTCATTTAACCTGAAGCACTCTTCAAGACGTTCTGACTTCATTTTTAGCAGTAGCACTTTCCTGTCCCCCACGAGAAAATTCTCTCTCACTTTACTTCGATTAAATTGTATTATGTAAACAACAGATATTCAAAATTTTGGTGCAAGTTGCATTTCTCCCCTCCCCCACTCCCTGAAATACTGCTCTAGTTTCTAATTATAATTAAAGGAGATTTACAAATTAAGAAATAAAGTTGGTTTGAATTGTTCTTTTGAGAAAAAACTAATCATTTTGCAGATGAAATGTGCTTGGTACTAGAATGTGAAGTGGCACAGGTTTACAGGCACAGCTGACCCCTGAACAACGTGAAGGTTAAAGGTGCCAGCACCGCATGCAGTCAAAAATTGGAGTGTAACTTAAGTCAGCTCTCTGCATGCATGCATTCCTCTCCACAGATCAAAAATACTGTCTCATTACCATTTGCCGGTGCTCTTGTAAGAACAAGGGACATGATGTTAATGTAGAACTATTCAATAGTAAACTCAAACTACAAGTTAGATTAACAGTGCCATGTGCTCTCTTCCTCAGCTGTGTGACTTTATATAACCCTAACATTCGTCAGTCACCGAGTATATGGATATAGAAGACAGCTGACGTGAACACATAAATGAAGTCTGGCCATTCAACAACAAGCTACACAGAGGTGAAGAGGCCTCCTTACCCCACCTACCCACATCCACCTCTCACCTATCGTTCACAGACTCAAAGAACATGAAGTCCCTGCTTCCCACTTCAAACACTGACACACGAAATTAAATTCTTGTGACTTTTAAATCAAATTCTATGTTTGGAAGATAAACATCGAGTTAATTAAGGGATGATGCTACTGACTGACTTTAATTTAGAAGACTTTGGTAACAAGTCTATTAAACACAAATACCAAGTGAAAATGTGATCACAACAGTTTTATGTACTTACCTCTTTGAACATTAACAAAAGTAACTTAAGTAGTCTAGAATGTGTTATAGCTAATTGGGATAGGTTAATATTTTTTTTCTAAAAATTAAAACAAACCAAAAAATACTTAAATAAGAAGATTTACATTTTCTAAAATGAAAAACATTATTTTAAGCTTAGCTAACATGGACATTATTCTTTTGTTTTTAAATGGGGAGAGGAATCAAATATCTTGCTACAGAATAATTACATTGTTTTTAAATTTTTTCTGATATAAATTTTTGCCAAATAAATGAACATTAATATTTCCCTGAAGGATAACAACACATAGAAAAGAAGAAAAGAGTGTTTTTGCAGCCTGTAAGACATAAATAAACTCAGCTTTCCTCCAGGATTAAAATCAAAATTTGTCAAGACTTTATTTTAAAGCAACTCAGGCCAAAGTACATTCAATTTCCATCATTTCTACCAAAACCACCCTCCCCAAACAAACCCCACTAAAACAAATGGAAACCTGTAAGAATGGGGTGGCCCTTACCACATCCCTTAGATTTGCCGCTCCTCAGGATTTCTGGCTTCCTTACCTTGTGACTTCTTATGGAGATGCAGACAATGCTGCGTTATAAAAACCTCATCTCTGGTTCAAGTCCCAGCAGGTTCTGGTCATTTTCTAGGCAGAAGTTGCTGTTCCCTAATCCAGGTCAAGGTACATTATGCTAATGAGCTCTGGCAATAGTCCAATCAAAATCTAGATGCTCCCTGCTCAGGGTAGGTAAGAGCAAGGGGGGAGCCACTAAACCAACCCAATTCTCAGAATGCCAGCAATGTGATGAATATTCTACGGTGTTCCTCTGAACTTTCCCCTCCTTCATGCGAATAGGCATTTTAACTAAAACAGACATTGAGAACCTGGAGAGGAAGCACAGATGTTTGCCTTCTGGTAATGTCACAGGTCAGGCCCAAGGCAGAATTTACAGTAGATTCTAATTCTCCCACCATTTAGCCCTGCCTGTGCGCAACACACACAACTCACAGAGGACAGACAGACGTTGCTCTGATGGAATTTACTGGAGTAGGTATCAGGTAGCAAATGGCTCATAAACCAGAAGCACCAAAATGCTAACCTACCCTTAACAATGAATGTTCCAGTAATTCTGAGTGTTGCAACCCCCCTCCCCCAATACAATTCTCCCTTCCAGAGAAGTCCTCAGTTCAGTAGTCTGGGCACAGCCCAGATCACTTCAGTTCATCTGCTATTTTCCAGGCAGTCTACTAGGCCCTGGAGATACAGGGACAATTAGAGCCATTAAGAAATTCAGTCTAAAAAGAAAAAAAAAGTTCAGTCTAGTCTAGGCTGAATGGCTCAGATGGTTAGAGTGTCTGCCTGCCAGTACAACAGAAGATTGGAGGTTTGATCCCTGATTGGGGTGTGTACAGGAGGTAACCTATCGATGTTTCTATCTCACTTTGAAGTTTCCTTCTCTCTCTCTATCTCTCCTTTCCTCTCTCTTTAAAATCAATAAATATGTACTTGGGCAAGTATTTAGAAAAAAAGAAGTTTAGTCTACCAGTTAGGGACTGGAAATATCAGGGGGTACACTTTGTAAAGTATATAACTGTCTAATCAATATGCTGTATACCTGAAAGTAACACAAAATAATATTGAATGTAAAATGCAATTGAAAAAACTTAAAAATTAATTTTAAAAAGTTCAGTCTAGGGGAAAAGATGAGAAAAGATACTAAATAAGCCCAAGATAACTTGATGCATAGAATAGAGGCAGCCTAGAAGGAATGCAGAAGGGGAAATTATTAATCTGGAGGCAAGAGGATCAGGCGAAACTTCTTTCACAAAAATGATGCCTGATCGGCCCTTTAAAGGACAAACGGACATTTGTCAAGGCATCAGGAAGTGGAAAAGTGTGTTCCAGTTTGTGGCAATCTCATGGGAAAAGGTAAAGAGGTATGGAAAGTGTGGTGTGCACAGCAGCACACAAAGTCGTACCCGCCAGGAAGGTGCAGACCATCAGACAGATAGGCTACAGAGGAAAGAATGAGCAGGCCAGGAGGCAAAATACTTGGGAGGCTTCACAGGTTGTGCTGGCTGTCCCTGAGAGACTTTCTGCAGTGCTGAGAAAATTTCCCACCAGTGTTTCAGGCCTTAAATAGACCTTGTGTTTAACAATCTCACTCTTTCCTGTCCTCCGTAAGGAACTCCTATCTCACTGTACATGGATTAAATTCTATCATGTAAACAGTATTCAAAAAGTTCTGCATAAACTGAATTTCCTCCCCCATGAGAAATAATGAGCTAGTTTCTAATTATAACTGCTTAAAGGAGATTTATAACTGAAGAAAGTTAGTTTGAAGTCTTCTACTGAGGAAAAACGAATTATTTTGCAGATGAAATGTGCTTATTAGTAGAATATGCAGTGAAGAATGTCTCACTGGAGTTAAAGATTCCACATGACTTTTGTGTGCTTTGTCTGACAAATGTGGGTCTGTTCTTTGCAGTCCCTCCCTTGATCAGGAGGTTCTCTCTCCATCCCCCAAATATACCGGAGTGGGACAAAGCCTACTGCTGTGCAACCCAGAAAAAGAAAAAGAGGAATGTCTAAAGTGTCCAGCTCCAGAATCTCAAAACAGGGCAAAGAGTGGATTTGAGAGCCAGGAGGCAGTAAATTGATAATGGGCACACCCATCTATCATGATTACCCACTTGCTTTAGGTCCTCTCTCTAGAATGTCTTCTTCCACCCATATATCTAAACCCTACCCCTCCTTTAGGAAGTCCCCACATGTCACCTCCTTACGAGACCTTCCCAGGTTATTCTACAACACATGATTTCTCACTTCTGTGTTGTTCCAGAACTCTTCACTCTGGAATATATGTTATCTTATATCAGTTAGAACTAACATTTTTTCTAACTATAAAATAAATTTATGATCTTTTAAAAAAATTCATAATCTCACCCTGGCTGGTTTGGCTCCTTGGATTGAGCACCAGCCTGCAAACCAAGGGGTCACCTGCTGGATTCCCAGGGCACATGCCCGGGTTGTGGGCTAGGTCCCCAGTCGGGGGTGCTCAAGAGGCAGCCACACACTGCTTGCTGCTTCTCTCCCTCTCTTCCCCCTCTTTTCTCCTCTCTAAAAATCAATCAATAAATCTTAAAAAATAAAATAAAAAAGTCATGGTCTTCCCACTATTAACATTTTGGATATGTCCTTTTAGAG